AAAAAATATATTTATTGTATTTTTAATTTATGTTTTTAGAGTATAAATTAGGTAAATTTATAAATAAAAATAGTTAATTATTTAAATGATATATAAAATTATATAAAAAATAATATGCAAAATTATTTCTAATTTTTTTTCATCTAATTGCACAAACCAAATGTTAAATCTCTTGTCACGTAGGCATGAGATGACCATATTCGACCACGCGAGGCAGTTCCCAAATGGCAATTAACGGAGTTAACAGTTGTTAAGTTACTGTACCAGTAAGGGTTAAATTGCTTTTATTATAGAGTTTAGGGGCTTATATGCATCAATTAAAGTTTAGGGACTTAATAGCGATTCTTGGCTTAGTTCAGGGGCTTAACTTATGGTTTTGCCTATCTTTATCCGTCAACTATAGATCTCAAATAGACTCTTGAATATTTTATACATTTTACTGCTCATCTTTTTTAATGATAAATTAATGGTTAAATATCTTTTTTGGTCCCTCTACTATTGGAAAAAGCTCTTTTTTAGTCTCTGTACCGAAAAAATCCCCTTTTTATCCTTAAATTTTAAAATCCAGCCCCTTTTTAGTCTCTCCGTTAATTTTCGCTCACGTGTCACGTTAACTTAACAAGAACAGCTGATGTGGGTATACCAACATGTAAAAGATGCTTATGTGAACTTAACGACAACCTCCACGTCACCTTCCACGTCACACTCCACTTCCTCCGGCTTTTTTTTATTTTATTTTTTATCCTCTTACCTCCAGGCGATCCCAACAGCCTGGGTTCCTGTCACGAGTCGACCGCTTGACCTTTTTTACAGACACAGCCAAGTATACACAAAGCAACCAAATTTAATACCCAGATGTCCCCATCCCGCCTCACCATATCCAAAATCTCCACCCCAAAGCAACCCCATTTCTTCAACCTGCTTCATAATTTTCTCCATCCCTTCATCACCAAACTAACGCAATTCACTTCTTTTTTTTTAAATAATTTTTTAATCTAATATTAATACCCCTCTGGCATTATTATCATAATTTGTATTCCACTTGGCTTTCTCTCTCTCTGTTTTCCTGATCTTCATTGTTTTCTGGGTTGGTTAAAAATAAAAAAGAAAAAGGGAGTGAAAATGATGAGCGGGCTTTTCCGATCCAAATCTTGCGGGCAGGTCGGACTTACAGATGGGCCGTTCTTTCAGCGGAGATATAGCAACAACGTTGAAGACAATGGAGGGGAAGAAGAAGAAGAATTTAACGAGGAAGATGATGACGATGATATTGAGGGAAGTGAAATTACGAAAAATAGATTCCGACGTCGTTTATAAGCCCCCGAGTCGAGCTTTGGGGGTGAGGGGCGAAATGGTAATTCCACGTCGAAGTCTAATCATTTTACAATTCTGGATATTTTGGTGGGGGCATTGCGGAAGTCGCTGGTCATGTGCGACGTCGAGAGTGGCGATGTGGCGTCGAAAGTGGCGATGTGTCGCCGATGGACATCAGCTGGCCGACGGAAGTCAGGCACGTCTCCCACGTCACCTTCGACCAGTTTAATGGGTTCCTCAGTTTACCCACCGAGTTCGAGTTGGAGGTTCCCTGGAAGGCACCCAGCGCCAGGTCTTCTTCTTCAATTTTTTTTGGGGTTTATTTCAATTTAACATTTTGTTTGCTAATTAATGTGATTAATGCTTCTCTTAGTTATTTATGGGTAGGATTATTAACCAGATAAAATTCTCTTAATTTATTTTATTGATTGATTCATCGCGAACCTAGGAATCTTCTTCCCCCATCCTTTCCTTTCTTTGTTTTTTTTTTTCCCTTTTACCTCCAGGCGAACCCAGGAGCTGGGTTCGTCCTGAACCCAGGTGCCTGGGTTTGCGAGGAACCCAGGCTGTTGGGATTGCCTGGAGGTAAAAGGATAAAAAAAAAAAAAAAAAA